GGTAGTAGTTAGAAAATTGCTTTAACACCCCTTAGGTGCATGCTTATTTCTCAGTCGCCTTGCTTAAAAAGCCAAGCCCAATCTAAAGCCTCAGACCCCAAACAGCTTAGAGGAGAGACACAAAATCTGCAGCCAACCTTCATATACACTGTCTAAAAGATTGGTATTACAGACCCCCAGGGTATCATATGTCAGGGCATTGTACACGGACCCCTAACCCCATAATTAAGTCACATTCCCCACAAGTGTAGCAAACGAGAGAGACGCTTGACAGTTCTATTAAAAAGTCAGGATGAAATACCACATGAACGTGAATCGAGATCTTCTGCGTTTTCACCGGTGAGAAAAGTTATGACCTTGTAGGAAAATGTTATATTCATGGGCAAGAGGAATGGGTTTTAATCAAACTCGATGGATGGGCCTTGTGTTTGCATCTGTTGTTGCTTACACCTCCACTTGTTTACTTATATTCTGTGGGAAGTGTGGTTGAACGGTAGTTCTGTTCCGAAATGTATATTAACAACAATGCAGAGTGATGGACGCTGAGGTCAGAGTGTAAATATCCCTATTGCCATCCTTCTCTAACAGACAACAGACACTGTAACTGTAAGCAATGAACAAAGCAATGCATAGATTTAGCAACGAGATGGCAATATGAATGGTGGAGGCTGCTATCATGTTGCATTAGCAGACCAAAGCTAAAGCAGACTACAATGGCTAGATAGCATAGCACTCGCGGCAAACAAAACACAAGACATAAAGCTCATAGAAGCAAGTAGGCTGGCAGGCAGCAGCAATTGAGGAACATGGCATAAGTTCTAATTGTCATCATTAAAAGGCCCTTTCATGTTAAAACTTCACCACTAGATGTCCTCTTCCTCCCAGACTGAAGACTGCATACAGACTGCAGCAATGTAGACCTGAGATATTACTAAGCCATGTCATGCACACACCTCATGCACATACGCATGAGTTGTCTTTCCACTGAAGAACCACAACAGACAGCATTTTCTCCTCACTGAAAATGCTCTCTGTTATTATATAGAATATGATCTCTGTTATTATATAGAATATGATCTCTGTTATTATATAGAATATGATCTCTGCCTATATGAACTACGCCTGCCAGAAGTAATGTCTTAAAAAAAGGTTCCTTCGACTAAAAGTGGCGCAGTGGTCACTCTCCCGAGTGGCGCAGTGGTCTAAGGCACTGCGTCGCAGTGCTAGCTGTGCCACTAGAGATCCTGGTTCGAATCCAGGCTCTGTCGTAGCCGACCGCGACCGGGAGACGCATGGGGCGGCGCACAATTGGCCCAGCGTCGTCCAGGGTAAGGGAGGGAATGGTTGGCAGGGATGTAGCTCAGTTGGTAGAGCATGGCGTTTGCAACGCCAGGGTTGTGGGTTCGATTCCCATGGGGGGCCAGTATTTTTAAAAAATGATGTATGCACTCACTAACTGTAAGTCGCTCTGGATAAGAGCGTCTGCTAAATGACTAAAATGTAAATGTAAAACGTTGACCAAATAAATGGTATCTACAGTAAACTTGTGTATGGGAGTATTCTCATGAGGAACTAAAGTATATGGCCTTTATTCACAGCACAATAAGGAAAGAAAGCATTATTTTTTTATTCACCTTTATTTAACCATAATGGTGTGTTGTTATAACCATGTGTGTGAGGTGTATACTTTTGCTTCAAAGTAGATTTGTTTAAGACTACCATGAAACAATCTGTGACCCTGATTTTGCCCGCTGCAATAAAAGGTTGGTTCTACTTCCTTTTATCTGTATTTCTGGTTAAATTGATGCAATAATCTAAGCCTTAAAAAAAGAAAACAACTGCACCATATCAGATATAATTTGAAATGTATTCCATTTTGAGTTTGCATCCCAATATTGCACTTTATGTACGTCACATGATGAAATATAAAAAAAAAAGTTTCACAGAACTAATGTTTATGAATTATGAAATTATAACACATGCAGTATTAATAACATTCCACCCATGAGGACACTAAAGGGCGATTTGGTCAGTTGACTGCAGGAAAGGACTACCTAAAAATTTAGAATGTGCAGGAATGCTTTCTTAACTTGTACAATTCTCATGACAAATGATTAGTCTATATTCTGCTCTGACTTGTCTCCACCCACTGGTTGAATCAACGTTGTTTCCACGTCATTTCAATGAAATTATGTTGAACCAACGTGGAATATACAGTACCAGTCAAAAGTTTGGACACACCTACTCATTCAAGGGTTTTTCTTAATTTCTACAATTTTTTACATTGTAGAATAATAGTAAAGACATCAAAACTATGAAATAACACATATGGAATCATGTAGTAACCAAAAAAAGTGTTAAACAAATCAAAATATATTTTATATCTGAGATTCTTCAAATAGCCACCCTTTGCCTTGATGACAGCTTTGCACACTCTTGGCATTCTCTCAACCAGCTTCACCTGGAATGATTTTCCAACAGTCTTGAAGGAGTTCCCACATATGCTGAGCACTTGTTGGCTGCTTTTTTCTTCACTCTGCCGTCCGACTCATCCCAAACCATCTCAATTGCGTTGAGGTCGGGGGATTGTGGCGGCCAGGTCATCTGATGCAGCCCTCCATCACTCTCTTTCTTGGTAAAATAGCCATTACACAGCCTGGAGGTGTGTTGTGTCATTGTCCTGTTGAAAAACAAATGATAGTCCCAATATGCCCAAACCAGATGGGATGGCGTCTCACAAAGACACGGTGGTTTGAACCAAAAATCTCCAATTTGGACTCCAGACCAAAGGACAAATTTCCACCGGTCTAATGTCCATTTCTTGTGTTTCTTGTCCCAAGCAGGTCTCTTCTTATTATTGGTGTCCTTTAGTAGTGGTTTCTTTGCAGTAATTCGCCCATGAAGGCCTGATTCACAGTCCCCTCTGAACAGTTGATGTTGAGATGTGTCTGTTACTTGAACTCTGTGAAGCATTTATTTGGGCTGCAATTTCTGAGGCTGGTAACTCTAATGAACTTATCCTCTGCAGCAGAGGTAACTCTGGGTCTTCCTTTCCTGTGGCGACTTATTTGAGCTGTTCTTGCCATAATATGGACTTGGTCTTTTACCAAGTAGGGCAATCTTCGATATACCCCCTCCTAAGAAGGAAAGAAATTTCACAAATTAACTTTTAAGAAGGCACACCTGTTAATTGAAATGAATTCCAGGTGACTACCTCATGAAGCTGGTTGAGAAAATGCCAAGAGTGTGCAAAGCTGTCATCAAGGCAAAGGGTGGCTATTTGAAGAATCTCAAATATAAAATACATTTTGATTTGTTCAACACTTTTTTGGTTACTACATGATTCCATGTGTTATTTCATAGTTTTGTTGTCTTCACTATTATTCTACAATGTAGAAATAAAGAAAAACCCTTGAATGTGTAGGTGTGTCCAAACTTTTGACTGGTAGTGTATGTTGAGTTGACTTATGTGCCTAGTGGACAGCTATCTCAAATCAAATACAATTTTATTTGTCACATGCACCAATTACAACTGGTGTAGACTTTACTGTGAAATGCTTGCAACAATGCACAGTTTACAAATAATAATTATTCTCTAGCTTCCTATTTGCTCAACTTCCTCCCTGGTTGTAGAGGGATTTGGTTCTGTAGTTTGAGTGTTCTTTATATGGTGGATTGAAGACTCTCAATAGATAGGTTTCCATCCAAACGGTGACGGATCATGTGAATATTCTAAAGTGTGTATAAAAACAAGATGTGCATTTTTCCACCAGAGATATGTTTCCATCAATATGACTTGTTGCGGTTAGAAGGCGGTGCGTGATGATGTAGTGCACATAAAAATAACCTTTATATTTCCATGTACCAATAAAACATTTTTTTTACATGGGTTTCCATCTCATTTTCAACTGTACTGATGGTTGTCAGAATTATTTTGGCGAATGTGTCCACTCTGGTCTTGGCACAGATACAGTGCGGGTGTAGCCTACATGAGATTAATATGGACAAAAAAGCAAGATTATTTTTATTTGTCAAACGGCAGCCAAGCATTGATCATCATGTCACCAGAATAAGACCCCCAGAAAAAGTTTCCGCTGCCATTTCTCGCATAATTGATTTAGCAGAAAACAAAAAGATCCCACCTTGTCTAGCGTATTTTATTTTGTAGACATTTGGAAAAGTTACCGACAAATTGGCTGTTTTCATCAGGCCTGTCGTGACATTTTTTATCCGACATGTACTTTACTCAGTTGGATGGAAACTTGGTTTGTGTAGACAAACACTGGATGGAGACCAATTACTGTTTTGCAGATTTAATGACGAACTGATCACATCTACAGCCATGCATCAACTCAACTACTTCCTGTTCTCTCCCAACTATTAACCAACATCTGACCAATCAGAATAGAGCAAAGTAGTTAACTAGCAATTGCTAGCTAGATAATCAGAATTACACAACATTCCCTTAGAAATTATTAATATCTTGTTAAATAATTCTACCTTACCATAGAATTCTAAAGCAATCACAATGGAGGACATACAATTTGAAACAAACTGTTCAATTCAAGTCAATACACTTTATTATCATCCAAGGGGCAATTATTTTGGGGGTTAAAAAGTGACAGGGTGACAACACAACCAACAACATACTGTATGTTGCTTTGGCATTCATGGAATAGGCATTTTCAAAACATGCAACGTTTGGTCCCATTGCTAGCTAATGTTAGCCAGAGGCAAAATGTAAACATAGAATGAGTGCCCATTGTTATGACGCATTAAGTTAGGTCTTAATTTGTTGTACTGTCACAACTTTTATGAAGCCCTTTTTACATCAGCAGTTGTCACAAAGTGCTTTGCAGATATCCAGCCTAAAACCCCAAAGAGCAAGCAATGCAGAGGCACAGTGGTGAATAGCCACACACATTTTTCAAGATTCATTAACCAATATGAGACTTCTAGACATTCATTCATGTACATTCCTGCGCCACAGGGCTCCTATATCATACCTGTACATCTGTTTGACTAGTCATACCCACTTGAAGGTTTCTAATATGTGACAGTGTCCGGCTACCATTGATTGAGACATGGTTCTTTAGACACGGCATATGTTTCTGCAGCAGAATCCAGAAGTGGTTCTGGAATTTTCTACCCACAAAGGTGTAGAAGGCAGGATTGATACAGAAGTACAGATATGTGACCATACGAGTAACTTGCAGCGCATAGTCAAGTTTACGGACTTTCACACAGTCGACTTCATCCGCTTGAAGCATCACAACCACATTATAAGGAGTCCAGCATGCAAAGAACAGCAGTACTATGACAAATATGAGTCTCACCGTCCTGTACTTGTTGGTCATCCTGGAGGCGATGGCGGTCAGGCAGATCCTAATGTAGCAGTAAAAAACAACAATGAGAGGAAATAGGAAAAACAAACCTAACTGGAGGTATCGCCCCGACAGTTTCAATACCTCAAAGTCAATCGATTCTGAGGTACCAACCTCCTCACACACCAACCCCTGGGAGTAATGCTCGGCCTGGTCATAGAGTAGAAACGGCTTGATGCACGCCAGGAGGCTGATGCCCCACACAGCGGCAGACGAGGCGAGGGCGTAGCTCCTCCGACGTAGCCTGGTGGATGGCACGGCGTAGACCACCGCCAGGTACCGGTCAAATGTCATGAGGGTGAGGAACAGGATCGAGCTGTAGAAACCAAGGAAGTAGGCGCTGCCCACGATCTTACACCAGGCCCGGCCGAAGACCCAGCTGGACTTGTGGTGGTATACGGCCCAGAAGGGCAGACCGGACATGAAGACCAGGTCCGACACCACCAGGTTGAGGAGGAAGATGTTCCCCACCGTGTTGAGTTTCTCGAACTTGCAGAGGATGTAGAGGACCAAGCTGTTTCCCACCACGCTCAGTGTGAATATCAGCAGGTAGAAGGTGGAGAGTTTGACCCCAAAGTCGTGGTTAGTTTCTCTGTTGCAAAACGGAGCGTCCGTCTCTGAGCTGTAGTCCGGGTAGCCCGCTGTTGTCTCTCCAAAAGAGGAGTTCATTTCCATTTCCATTGCTTGGTGTGTTTACTCAAAACCTGTCAAAACATTGTCAGCTCTTACAGTGAACAACTTATTTAAATCAGCAGAAATTGAGTGAGGAAAATATCAATTTTAGCTGGCTTACCCAAAACTTTTGGCTGGAGTGTTTACTTGCTTGGGGCAAGTAAAGGGAAACGTTTATTTGTCTTCGAGTGAGACTCAGCCTAGGTTAGGAAATACACAGGGGAGGGGTGTGTGTGTGTGTGTGATGCATATCCTCTGAATCAGACCTTTGTCATCTAGCCTTTAGAGTTTCTTTCTATTCTGTCCTAATTTTCACCTTCTAACAATCATTGCACATTGGTGTATTGTACATAGGATGAATTTCAAATCAATCTCTAGCTCCTCCCTTATGCACCTCTGAAGATTTGAAAGGATTAGACAGGTTCATCCAATATGTCAGAGAAATCCATCCAGCCTATCAGAGGGAAGTATGAGGCTATTGCTACTTTGGCATACCCAATTCTAATGTAATGTTTTCAGATCTAGGCCTACATGAAGTGTCTGTATTAGGGGCTAGGGGTTGCTTTAGTATTCAGAAATCATGTCCTCTACCTCTATTGTAGATAGAATATTTTACATTTGTAACATTTAAGTTCTAATTGTCATCATTTCAAGGCCCTTTCATGTTAAAACTTCACCACTAGATGTCCTCTTCCTCCCAGACTGAAGACTGCATACAGACTGCAGCAATGTAGACCTGAGACATTACAAAGCTATGTAAAATCAAATCATTTTGTATTATGCGCCGAATACAACAGGTGCAGACATTACAGTGAAATGCTTACTTACAGCCCTTAACCAACAGTGCATTTATTTTTAATGAAAAATTTAAATAAAACAACAAAAAAGTGTTGAGCAAAAAAGCAGAAGTAAAATAAAATAACAGTAGGGAGGCTATATATACAGGGGGGTACCGGTGCAGAGTCAATGTGCGGGGGCACCGGCTAGTTGAGGTAGTTGAAGTAATATGTACATGTGGGTAGAGTTAAAGTGACTATGCATAAATAATTAACAGAGTAGCAGCAGCGTAAAAAGATGGGGTGGGGGGGGGCAGTGCAAATAGTCCGGGTAGCCATGATTAGCTGTTCAGGAGTCTTATGGCTTGGGGGTAGAAGCTGTTGAGAAGTCTTTTGGACCTAGACTTGGCACTCCGGTACCGCTTGCCGTGCGGTAGCAGAGAGAATAGTCTATGACTAGGGTGGCTGGAGTCTTTGACAATTTTGAGGGCCTTCCTCTGACACCGCCTGGTATAGAGGTCCTGGATGGCAGGAAGCACGTACGTACGCACTACCCTCTGTAGTGCCTTGCGGTCGGAGGCCAAGCAGTTGCCATACCAGGCGGTGATGCAACCAGTCAGCATGCTCTCGATGGTGCAGCTGTATAATTTTTTGAGGATCTGAGGACCCATGCCGAATCTTTTCAGTCTCCTGAGGGGGAATAGGCTTTGTCGTGCCCTCTTCACGACTGTCTTGGTGTGTTTGGACCATGATAGTTCGTTGGTGATGTGGACACCAAGGAACTTGAAGCTCTCAACCTGTTCCACTACAGCCCCGGAGATGAGAATGGGGGCGTGCTCAGTCCTCTTTTTTTTCCTGTAGTCCACAATCATCTCCTTTGTCTTGGTCACGTTGAGGGAGAGGTTGTTATCCTGGCACCACACGGCCAGGTCTCTGACCTCCTCCCTATAGGCTGTCTCATCGTTGTCGGTGATCAGGCCTACCACTGTTGTGTCGTCGGCAAACTTAATGATGGTGTTGGAGTCGTGCCTGGCCATGCAGTCATGGGTGAACAGGGAGTACAGGAGGGGACTGAGCACGCACCCCTGAGGGGCCCCCGTGTTGAGGATCAGTGTGGCAGATGTGTTGTTACCTACCCTTACCACCTGGGGGCGGCCCGTCAGGAAGTCCAGGATCCAGTTGCAGAGGGAGGTGTTTAGTCCCAGGATCCTTAGCTTAGTGATGAGCTTTGAGGGCACTATGGTGTTGAATGCTGAGCTGTAGTCAATGAATAGCATTCTCACGTAGGTGTTCCTCTTGTCCAGGTGGGAAAGGGCAGTGTGGAGTGCAATAGAGATTGCATCATCTGTGGATCTGTTGGGGCGGTATGCAAATTGGAGTGGGTCTAGGGTTTCTGGGATAATGGTGTTGATGTGAGCCATGACAAGCCTTTCAAAGCACTTCATGGCTACAGACGTCAGTGCTACGGGTCGGTAGTCATTTAGGCAGGTTATCTTAGTGTCCTTGGGCACGGGGACTATGGTGGTCTGCTTGAAACATGTTGGTATTACAGACTCAGTCAGGGACATGTTGAAAATGTCAGTGAAGACACTTGCCAGTTGGTCAGCACATGCTTGGAGCACACGTCCTGGTAATCCGTCTGGCCCTGCGGCCTTGTGAATGTTGACCTGCTTAAAAGTCTTACTCACATCGGCTACGGAGAGCGTGATCACATAGTCATCCGGAACAGCTGGTGCTCTCATGCATGCTTCAGTGTTGCTTGCCTCGAAGCGAGCATAGAAGTGGTTTAGCTCGTCTGGTAGGCTTGTGTCACTGGGAAGCTCGCGGCTGTGCTTCCCTTTGTAGTCTGTAACAGTTTTCAAGCCCTGCCACATCCGACGAGCGTCAGAGCCGGTGTAGTACGATTCAATCTTAGTCCTGTATTGACTCTTTGCCTGTTTGATGGTTCGTCGGAGGGCATAGCAGGATTTCTTATAAGCGTCCGGGTTAGAGTCCCGCTCCTTGAAAGTGGCAGCTCTACCCTTTAGCTCAGTGCGGATGTTTCCTGTAATCAATGGCTTCTTGTTGGGGTATGTACGTACGGTCACTGTGGGGACGACATCATCGATGCACTTATTGATGAAGCCAGTGACTGATGTGGTGTACTCCTCAATGCTATCTGAAGAATCCCGGAACATGTTCCAGTCTGTGCTAGCAAAACAGTCCTGTAGCTTAGCATCTGCGTCATCTGACCACTTTTTTATTAACCGAGTCACTGGTGCTTCCTGCTTTAGTTTTTGCTTATAAGCAGGAATCAGGAGGATAGAGTTATGGTCAGATTTGCCAAATGGAGGGCGAGGGAGAGCTTTGTACGCGTCTCTGTGTGTGGAGTAAAGGTGGTCTAGAGTTTTTTTTCCTCTGGTTGCACATTTAACATGCTGGTAGAAATTAGGTAGAACGGATTTAAGTTTCCCTGCATTAAAGTCCCCGGCCACTAGGAGCGCTGCCTCGGTGAGCGTTTTCCTGTTGACTTATGGCCTTATACAGCTCATTCAGTGCAATCTTAATGCCAGCATTGGTTTGTGGTGGTAAATAGACAGCTATGAAAAATATAGATGAAAACTCTCTTGGTAAATAGTGTGGTCTACAGCTTATCATAAGATACTCTACCTCAGGCGAGCAAAACCTCGAGACTTCCTTAGTATTTGATTTTGTGCACCAGCTGTTGTTTACAAATATACACAGACCGCCCCCCTTGTCTTACCGGAGTCAGCCGTTCTATCCTGCCGATGTAGCGTATAGCCCGCTAGCTGTATGTTATCCATGTCGTCGTTCAGCCACGACTCGGTGAAACATAAGATATTACAGTTTTTAATGTCCCGTTGGTAGGATAACCGTAATCTTAGGTCATCCAATTTATTTTCCAATGATTGAAGATTGGCTAATAGGATTGATGGAAGAGGCAGTTTACTCGCTCGCCGTCGGATCCTTACAAGGCACCCCGACCTACGTCCACGATATCTCTGTCTCTTCCTCATGCGAATGACGGGGATTTGGGCCTTGTCGGGTGTCTGTAGGATATCCTTTGCGGCCGCCTCGTTGAAGAAAAATTATTAGTCCAATACAAGGTGAGTAATCGCTGTCCTGATATCCAGAAGCTCTTTTTGGTTATAAGAGACGATGGCAGAAACATTATGTACAAAATAAATTCCAAATAACGCGGAAAAACACACATGATAGTACAATTGGTTAGAGGGCTGTAAAACGGCAGCCATCTTCTCCGGCGCCATTAAATGTTGACACACGCCTCATGCACATACGCATGAGTTGTCTTTCCACTGAAGAACCACAACAGACAGCATTATCTCCTCACTGAAAATGCTCTCTGTTATTATATAGAATATGATCTCTGACTATATGAACTACGCCTGCCAGAAGTAATGTCTTAAAAAAAGGTTCCTTCGACTAAAAGTGGCGCAGTGGTCACTCTCCCGAGTGGCGCAGTGGTCTAAGGCACTGCGTCGCAGTGCTAGCTGTGCCACTAGAGATCCTGGTTCGAATCCAGGCTCTGTCGTAGCCGACCGTGACCGGGAGACGCATGGGGCGGCGCACAATTGGCCCAGCGTCGTCCAGGGTAAGGGAGGGAATGGTTGGCAGGGATGTAGCTCAGTTGGTAGAGCATGGCGTTTGCAACGCCAGGGTTGTGGGTTCGATTCCCATGGGGGGCCAGTATAAAAAAAAAATTATGTATGCACTCACTAACTGTAAGTCGCTCTGGATAAGAGCGTCTGCTAAATGACTAAAATGTAAATGTAAAACGTTGACCAAATAAATGGTATCTACAGTAAACTTGTGTATGGGAGTATTCTCATGAGGAACTAAAGTATATGGCCTTTATTCACAGCACAATAAGGAAAGAAAGCATTATTTTTTTATTCACCTTTATTTAACCATAATGGTGTGTTGCTTTAACCATGTGTGTGAGGTGTATACTTTTGCTTCAAAGTAGATTTGTTTAAGACTACCATGAAACAATCTGTGACCCTGATTTTGCCCGCTGCAATAAAAGGTTGGTTCTACTTCCTTTTATCTGTATTTCTGGTTAAATTGATGCAATAATCTAAGCCTTAAAAAAAGAAAACAACTGCACCATATCAGATATAATTTGAAATGTATTCCATTTTGAGTTTGCATCCCAATATTGCACTTTATGTACGTCACATGATGAAATATAAAAAAAAAAGTTTCACAGAACTAATGTTTATGAATTATGAAATTATAACACATGCAGTATTAATAACATTCCACCCATGAGGACACTAAAGGGCGATTTGGTCAGTTGACTGCAGGAAAGGACTACCTAAAAATATAGAATGTGCAGGAATGCTCTTTTAACTTGTACAATTCTCATGACAAATGATTAGTCTATATTCTGCTCTGACTTGTCTCCACCCACTGGTTGAATCAACGTTGTTTCCACGTCATTTCAATGAAATTATGTTGAACCAACGTGGAATATACAGTACCAGTCAAAAGTTTGGACACACCTACTCATTCAAGGGTTTTTCTTAATTTTTACAATTTTTTACATTGTAGAATAATAGTAAAGACATCAAAACTATGAAATAACACATATGGAATCATGTAGTAACCAAAAAAAGTGTTAAACAAATCAAAATATATTTTATATCTGAGATTCTTCAAATAGCCACCCTTTGCCTTGATGACAGCTTTGCACACACTTGGCATTCTCTCAACCAGCTTCACCTTGAATTATTTTCCAACAGTCTTGAAGGAGTTCCCACATATGCTGAGCACTTGTTGGCTGCTTTTTTCTTCACTCTGCCGTCCGACTCATCCCAAACCATCTCAATTGCGTTGAGGTCGGGGGATTGATGCAGCCCTCCATCACTCTCTTTCTTGGTAAAATAGCCCTTACACAGCCTGGAGTTGTGTTGTGTCATTGTCCTGTTGAAAAACAAATGATAGTCCCAATATGCCCAAACCAGATGGGATGGCGTCTCACAAAGACACAGTGGTTTGAACCAAAAATCTCCAATTTGGACTCCAGACCAAAGGACAAATTTCCACCGGTCTAATGTCAATTTCTTGTGTTTCTTGTCCCAAGCAGGTCTCTTCTTATTATTGGTGTCCTTTAGTAGTGGTTTCTTTGCAGTAATTCGCCCATGAAGGCCTGATTCACAGTCCCCTCTGAACAGTTGATGTTGAGATGTGTCTGTTACTTGAACTGTGTGAAGCATTTATTTGGGCTGCAATTTCTGAGGCTGGTAACTCTAATGAACTTATCCTCTGCAGCAGAGGTAACTCTGGGTCTTCCTTTCCTGTGGCGATTTATTTGAGATGTTCTTGCCATAATATGGACTTGGTCTTTTACCAAGTAGGGCAATCTTCGATATACCCCCTCCTAAGAAGGAAAGAAATTTCACAAATTAACTTTTAAGAAGGCACACCTGTTAATTGAAATTAATTCCAGGTGACTATCTCATGAAGCTGGTTGAGAAAATGCCAAGAGTGTGCAAAGCTGTCATCAAGGCAAAGGGTGGCTATTTGAAGAATCTCAAATATAAAATACATTTTGATTTGTTCAACACTTTTTTGGTTACTACATGATTCCATGTGTTATTTCATAGTTTTGTTGTCTTCACTATTATTCTACAATGTAGAAATAAAGAAAAACCCTTGAATGTGTAGGTGTGTCCAAACTTTTGACTGGTAGTGTATGTTGAGTTGACTTATGTGCCTAGTGGACAGCTATCTCAAATCAAATACAATTTTATTTGTCACATGCACCAATTACAACTGGTGTAGACTTTACTGTGAAATGCTTGCAACAATGCACAGTTTACAAATAATAATTATTCTCTAGCTTCCTATTTGCTCAACTTCCTCCCTGGTTGTAGAGGGATTTGGTTCTGTAGTTTGAGTGTTCTTTATATGGTGGATTGAAGACTCTCTATAGCTAGATTTCCATCCAAATGGTGACGGATCATGTGAATATTCTAAAGTGTGTATAAAAACAAGATGTGCATTTTTCCACCAGAGATATGTTTCCATCAATATGACTTGTTGCGGTTAGAAGGCGGTGCGTGATGATGTAGTGCACATAAAAATAACCTTTATATTTCCATGTACCAATATTTTTTTTTTTACATTGGTTTCCATCTCATTTTCAACTGTACTGATGGTTGTCAGAATTATTTTGGCGAATGTGTCCACTCTGGTCTTGGCACAGATACAGTGCGGGTGTAGCCTACATGAGATTATTATGGACAAAAAATCAAGATTATTTTTATTTGTCAAACGGCAGCCAAGCATTGATCATCATGTCACCAGAATAAGACCCCCAGAAAAAGTTTCCGCTGCCATTTCTCGCATAATTGATTTGGCAGAAAACAAAAAGATCCCACCTTGTCTAGCGTATTTTATTTTGTAGACATTTGGAAAAGTTACCGACAAATTGGCTGTTTTCATCAGGCCTGTCGTGACATTTTTTATCCGACATGTACTTTACTCGGTTGGATGGAAACGTGGTTTGTGTAGACAAACACTGGATGGAGACCAATTACTGTTTTGCAGATTTAATGACGAACTGATCACATCTACAGCCATGCATCAACTCAACTACTTCCTGTTCTCTCCCAACTATTAACCAATATCTGACCAATCAGAATAGAGCAAAGTAGTTAACTAGCAATTGCTAGCTAGATAATCAGAATTACACAACATTCCCTTAGAAAATATTAATATCTTGTTAAATAATTCTACCTTACCATAGAATTCTAAAGCAATCACAATGGAGGACATACAATTTGAAACAAACTGTTCAATTCAAGTCAATACACTTTATTATCATCCAAGGGGCAATTATTTTGGGGGTTAAAAAGTGACAGGGTGACAACACAACCAACAACATACTGTATGTTGCTTTGGCATTCATGGAATAGGCATTTTCAAAGCATGCAACGTTTGGTCCCATTGCTAGCTAATGTTAGCCAGAGGCAAAATGTAAACATGTTACTGAAACTAAATGTAGAAAAAGAATGAGTGCCCATTGTTATGACGCATTACGTTAGGTCTTAATTTGTTGTACTGTCACAACTTTTATAAAGCCCTTTTTACATCAGCAGTTGTCACAAAGTGCTTTGCAGATATCCAGCCTAAAACCCCAAAGAGCAAGCAATGCAGAGGCACAGTGGTGAATAGCCACACACATTTTTCAAGATTCATTAACCAATATGAGACTTCTAGACATTCATTCATGTACATTCCTGCGCCACAGGGCTCCTATATCATACCTGTACATCTGTTTGACTAGTCATACCCACTTGAAGGTTTCTAATATGTGACAGTGTCCGGCTACCATTGATTGAGACATGGTTCTTTAGACACGGCATATGTTTCTGCAGCAGAATCCAGAAGTGGTTCTGGAATTTTCTACCCACAAAGGTGTAGAAGGCAGGATTGATACAGAAGTACAGATATGTGACCATACGAGTAACTTGCAGCGCATAGTCAAGTTTACGGACTTTCACACAGTCGACTTCATCCGCTTGAAGCATCACAACCACATTATAAGGAGTCCAGCATGCAAAGAACAGCAGTACTATGACAAATATGAGTCTCACCGTCCTGTACTTGTTGGTCATCCTGGAGGCGATGACGGTCAGGCAGATCCTAATGTAGCAGTAAAAAACAACAATGAGAGGAAATAGGAAAAACAAACCTAGCTGGAGGTATCGCCCCGACAGTTTCAATACCTCAAAGTCAATCGATTCTGAGGTACCAACCTCCTCACACACCAACCCCTGGGAGTAATGCTCGGCCTGGTCATAGAGTAGAAACGGCTTGATGCACGCCAGGAGGCTGATGCCCCACACAGCGGCAGACGAGGCGAGGGCGTAGCTCCTCCGACGTAGCCTGGTGGATGGCACGGCGTAGACCACCGCCAGGTACCGGTCAAATGTCATGAGGGTGAGGAACAGGATCGAGCTGTAGAAACCAAGGAAGTAGGCGCTGCCCACGATCTTACACCAGGCCCGGCCGAAGACCCAGCTGGACTTGTGGTGGTATACGGCCCAGAAGGGCAGACCGGACATGAAGACCAGGTCCGACACCACCAGGTTGAGGAGGAAGATGTTCCCCACCGTGTTGAGTTTCTCGAACTTGCAGAGGATGTAGAGGACCAAGCTGTTTCCCACCACGCTCAGTGTGAATATCAGCAGGTAGAAGGTGGAGAGTTTGACCCCAAAGTCGTGGTTAGTTTCTCTGTTGCAAAACGGAGCGTCCGTCTCTGAGCTGTAGTCCGGGTAGCCCGCTGTTGTCTCTCCAAAAGAGGAGTTCATTTCCATTTCCATTGCTTGGTGTGTTTACTCAAAACCTGTCAAAACATTGTCAGCTCTTACAGTGAACAACTTATTTAAATCAGCAGAAATTGAGTGAGGAAAATATCAATTTTAGCTGGCTTACCCAAAACTTTTGGCTGGAGTGTTTACTTGCTTGGGGCAAGTAAAGGGAAACGTTTATTTGTCTTCGAGTGAGACTCAGCCTAGGTTAGGAAATACACAGGGGAGGGGTGTGTGTGTGTGTGTGATGCATATCCTCTGAATCAGACCTTTGTCATCTAGCCTTTAGAGTTTCTTTCTATTCTGTCCTAATTTTCACCTTCTAACAATCATTGCACATTGGTGTATTGTACATAGGATGAATTTCAAATCAATCTCTAGCTCCTCCCTTATGCACCTCTGAAGATTTGAAAGGATTAGACAGGTTCATCCAATATGTCAGAGAAATCCATCCAGCCTATCAGAGGGAAGTATGAGGCTATTGCTACTTTGGCATACCCAATTCTAATGTAATGTTTTCAGATCTAGGCCTACATGAAGTGTCTGTATTAGGGGCTAGGGGTTGCTTTAGTATTCAGAAATCATGTCCTCTACCTCTATTGTAGATAGAATATTTTACATTTGTAACATTTAAGTTCTAATTGTCATCATTTCAAGGCCCTTTCATGTTAAAACTTCACCACTAGATGTCCTCTTCCTCCCAGACTGAAGACTGCATACAGACTGCAGCAATGTAGACCTGAGACATTACAAAGCTATGTAAAATCAAATCATTTTGTATTATGCGCCGAATACAACAGGTGCAGACATTACAGTGAAATGCTTACTTACAGCCCTTAACCAACAGTGCATTTATTTTTAATGAAAAATTTAAATAAAACAACAAAAAAGTGTTGAGCAAAAAAGCAGAAGTAAAATAAAATAACAGTAGGGAGGCTATATATACAGGGGGGTACCGGTGCAGAGTCAATGTGCGGGGGCACCGGCTAGTTGAGGTAGTTGAAGTAATATGTACATGTGGGTAGAGTTAAAGTGACTATGCATAAATAATTAACAGAGTAGCAGCAGCGTAAAAAGATGGGGTGGGGGGGGCAGTGCAAATAGTCCGGGTAGCCATGATTAGCTGTTCAGGAGTCTTATGGCTTGGGGGTAGAAGCTGTTGAGAAGTCTTTTGGACCTAGACTTGGCACTCCGGTACCGCTTGCCGTGCGGTAGCAGAGAGAATAGTCTATGACTAGGGTGGCTGGAGTCTTTGACAATTTTGAGGGCCTTCCTCTGACACCGCCTGGTATAGAGGTCCTGGATGGCAGGAAGCACGTACGTACGCACTACCCTCTGTAGTGCCTTGCGGTCGGAGGCCAAGCAGTTGCCATACCAGGCGGTGATGCAACCAGTCAGCATGCTCTCGATGGTGCAGCTGTATAATTTTGAGGATCTGAGGACCCATGCCGAATCTTTTCAGTCTCCTGAGGGGGAATAGGCTTTGTCGTGCCCTCTTCACGACTGTCTTGGTGTGTTTGGACCATGATAGTTCGTTGGTGATGTGGACACCAAGGAACTTGAAGCTCTCAACCTGTTCCACTACAGCCCCGGAGATGAGAATGGGGGCGTGCTCAGTCCTCTTTTTTTTCCTGTAGTCCACAATCATCTCCTTTGTCTTGGTCACGTTGAGGGAGAGGTTGTTATCCTGGCACCACACGGCCAGGTCTCTGACCTCCTCCCTATAGGCTGTCTCATCGTTGTCGGTGATCAGGCCTACCACTGTTGTGTCGTCGGCAAACTTAATGATGGTGTTGGAGTCGTGCCTGGCCATGCAGTCATGGGTGAACAGGGAGTACAGGAGGGGACTGAGCACGCACCCCTGAGGGGCCCCCGTGTTGAGGATCAGTGTGGCAGATGTGTTGTTACCTACCCTTACCACCTGGGGGTGGCCCGTCAGGAAGTCCAGGATCCAGTTGCAGAGGAAGGTGTTTAGTCCCAGGATCCTTAGCTTAGTGATGAGCTTTGAGGGCACTATGGTGTTGAATGCTGAGCTGTAGTCAATGAATAGCATTCTCACGTAGGTGTTCCTCTTGTCCAGGTGGGAAAGGGCAGTGTGGAGTGCAATAGAGATTGCATCATCTGTGGATCTGTTGGGGCGGTATGCAAATTGGAGTGGGTCTAGGGTTTCTGGGATAATTGTGTTGATGTGAGCCATGACAAGCCTTTCAAAGCACTTCATGGCTACAGACGTCAGTGCTACGGGTCGGTAGTCATTTAGGCAGGTTATCTTAGTGTCCTTGGGCACGGGGACTATGGTGGTCTGCTTGAAACATGTTGGTATTACAGACTCAGTCAGGGACATGTTGAAAATGTCAGTGAAGACACTTGCCAGTTGGTCAGCACATGCTTGGAGCACACGTCCTGGTAATCCGTCTGGCCCTGCGGCCTTGTGAATGTTGACCTGCTTAAAAGTCTTACTCACATCGGCTACGGAGAGCGTGATCACATAGTCATCCGGAACAGCTGGTGCTCTCATGCATGCTTCAGTGTTGCTTGCCTCGAAGCGAGCATAGAAGTGGTTTAGCTCGTCTGGTAGGCTTATGTCACTGGGAAGCTCGCGGCTGTGCTTCCCTTTGTAGTCTGTAACAGTTTTCAAGCCCTGCCACATCCGACGAGCGTCAGAGCCGGTGTAGTACGATTCAATCTTAGTCCTGTATTGACTCTTTGCCTGTTTGATGGTTCGTCGGAGGGCATAGCAGGATTTCTTATAAGCGTCCGGGTTAGAGTCCCGCTCCTTGAAAGTGGCAGCTCTACCCTTTAGCTCAGTGCGGATGTTTCCTGTAATCAATGGCTTCTGGTTGGGGTATGTACGTACGGTCACTGTGGGGACGACATCATCGATGCACTTATTGATGAAGCCAGTGACTGATGTGGTGTACTCCTCAATGCTATCTGAAGAATCCCGGAACATGTTCCAGTCTGTGCTAGCAAAACAGTCCTGTAGCTTAGCATCTGCGTCATCTGACCACTTTTTTATTAACCGAGTCACTGGTGCTTCCTGCTTTAGTTTTTGCTTATAAGCAGGAATCAGGAGGATAGAGTTATGGTCAGATTTGCCAAATGGAGGGCGAGGGAGAGCTTTGTACGCGTCTCTGTGTGTGGAGTAAAGGTGGTCTAGAGTTTTTTTTCCTCTGGTTGCACATTTAACATGCTGGTAGAAATTAGGTAGAACGGATTTAAGTTTCCCTGCATTAAAGTCCCCGGCCACTAGGAGCGCTGCCTCGGTGAGCGTTTTCCTGTTGACTTATGGCCTTATACAGCTCATTCAGTGCAATCTTAATGCCAGCATTGGTTTGTGGTGGTAAATAGATAGCTATGAAAAATATAGATGAAAACTCTCTTGGTAAATAGTGTGGTCTACAGCTTATCATAAGATACTCTACCTCAGGCGAGCAAAACCTCGAGACTTCCTTAGTATTTGATTTTGTGCACCAGCTGTTGTTTACAAATATACACAGACCGCCCCCCTTGTCTTACCGGAGTCAGCCGTTCTATCCTGCCGATGTAGCGTATAGCCCGCTAGCTGTATGTTATCCATGTCGTCGTTCAGCCACGACTCGGTGAAACATAAGATATTACAGTTTTTAATGTCCCGTTGGTAGGATAACCGTAATCTTAGGTCATCCAATTTATTTTCCAATGATTGAAGATTGGCTAATAGGATTGATGGAAGAGGCAGTTTACTCGCTCGCCGTCGGATCCTTACAAGGCACCCCGACCTACGTCCACGATATCTCTGTCTCTTCCTCATGCGAATGACGGGGATTTGGGCCTTGTCGGGTGTCTGTAGGATATCCTTTGCGGCCGCCTCGTTGAAGAAAAATTATTAGTCCAATACAAGGTGAGTAATCGCTGTCCTGATATCCAGAAGCTCTTTTTGGTTATAAGAGACGATGGCAGAAACATTATGTACAAAATAAATTCCAAATAACGCGGAAAAACACACATAATAGTACAATTGGTTAGAGGGCTGTAAAACGGCAGCCATCTTCTCCGGCGCCATTAAATGTTGACACACGCCTCATGCACATACGCATGAGTTGTCTTTCCACTGAAGAACCACAACAGACAGCATTATCTCCTCACTGAAAATGCTCTCTGTTATTATATAGAATATGATCTCTGACTATATGAACTACGCCTGCCAGAAGTAATGTCTTAAAAAAAGGTTCCTTCGACTAAAATGTTGACCAAATAAATGGTATTTATGCAGTGGGCTGAATCAGGGTCACACAGGGTGTTTCTTGGTAGTCTTAAAGAAATCTACTTTGAAACATAAGTATACACCTCACACACATGGTTATGACAACTTTACCATGTCAGATATAGAGTTGAAATGTATTCCATTTTGAGTTTGCATCCCAATATTGCACTTTATGTACATCAAATAAGTTTTTATTTTTTTTGACTTTACTGTGAAATGCTTGCAACAATGCACAGTTTACAAATAATAATTATTCTCTAGCTTCCTCTTTGCTCAACTCCCTCCCTGGTTGTAGAGGGATTTGGTTCTGTAGGTTTGAGGGTTCTTTATATGGTGGATTGAAGACTCTCTATAGCTAGGTTTCCATCCAAATGGTGACAGATCATGTGAATATTCTAAAGTGTGCATAAAAACAAGATGTGCATTTTCCCACCAGAGATGTGTTTCCATCAATATGACTTGTTGTGGTTAGAAGGCGGTGCGTGATGATGTAGTCCCGAGTGGCGCAGTGGTCTAAGGCACTGCATCGCAGTACTAGCTGTGCCACTAGAGATCCTGGTTCGAATCCAGGCTCTGTCGTAGCCGGCCGTGACCGGGAGACCCATAATTGGTCCAGCGTCATCCAGGGTAGGGGAGGGAATGGCCGGCAGGGATGTAGCTCAGTTGGTAGAGCATGGCGTTTGCAACGCCAGGGTTGTGGGTTCGATTCCCACAGGAGGCCAGTATGGAAAAAATATTTTTTTTAAATGTATGCACTCAC